CTGACTGACAGACGCCGCCGGGCCCGTGACAGCTGTTATGGTTGTCACCACCTGATGTCGGCCCTGGCATGAGCACTTCCCTCTTTCTACTGCTAATGCATTTCCTGCTGCTCTTATACACGGTTTGCCTACCTTTAAGTAATCTGAAATAACTACCGCTAAATCCCTTTCCTCAGGTGTTGAGGTTAGGACTCTGTCAAATATTCTGTACTCTGCCCATGGGTTTTTACGTCCAAGATGCATTATCTTGCACTTATCCACATTAAATGTCAATTGCCACAGCTCTGACCGTTTTTCTAGTTTACCTAAATCATTTGCCATTTGGCTTATCCCTTCTGGAACATCAACCCTGTTCTATATCTTTGGATCATCATGTAAAAGACATACCTTACCATCAAGACCTTCTGCAATATCACTAATAAAAATATTAACCCCATAGTGACCGCGGATGTATGGGGTACGTCAGCCAAAAAACTTTTGTTAATGAGCGCTGATGTACCCTGTACGTCCGTGGCCAAAATGAGTGCTGGAAGTGATTGTGATCGCTTCCAGCCACTCTAAGGGTATTATCGAGGCATCGTAGAATACTCCCCCTCACTGCCGGGCACCGGAGTGATCGCTTCCCCCGGAGTGATCACTTTTGGGTTGCCGCATGTGGCGCCTGGCGCCTCCCTCTTCCTCCCCATGTACTTACCGATCGCCGCAGTTCCCCTCAGTCTTCTTCTGAGTGGGACTGTCTGGGCTCACCCTAGACAGTCCCCCCCCCTCTGCAATTTAGGACCCCCAGGGTCTTTTAGAGCAGTTACATGGCCACAGTGGGTGTCCACAGTGCTGCCAGCAGGGGGACTACCTGAACTGACTGGCAGTCCCCCTGCTGGTGAAAAAGTAAAAAAAAAAAAAGTTTTAAAAATTAAAAAAAAATAATTACATTAAAATAAAATAATCGTAATAAATTAATATATTAATCATACTAAGTGTATTTTTTATTAATATGTGTGTGTGTGTGTGTGTGTGTGTGTGTGTGTGTATGTATATATAACAGATTTTGAGGGTGAAAGTTCGGAAAAGTGTTTGTTTTTTAATTTTTTTTTCATATTTTAGAAAAAAAAATCATAGTACGTTTTATTTATTTATATATATATGATAAAAATAATGGTATCTTTAGAAAGACCCATTTAAGGGTGAGAAAAACTGTATATAATATGTGTGGGTACAGTAAATGAGTAAGATGTAAATTACAGCTAAACACAAACACAGCAGAAATGTAAAAACAGCCCTGATCCTAAATGGTAAGAAAATTTAAAAGTGGTCTGGTCACTAAGGGGTTAAAGAGAATGGGTCCACGTACAGATCCCTGAGGTTCCTCACTGGTTAAAAGACCTTGCTTTGAATATACTCCATTGACTACAACCCTCTGTTGCCTGTCATTCAGCCACTCCCTTACCCATTAAACAATATTGGGGTCTAAACTTAAAGATTGAAGTTTATTGATAAGCCTTCTATGTGCAATGAAATCTAGGTAAGCAGTGTCTACTGCGCCACCCTGAACTATTATTTTCACTACCCAATCAAAAAAATAAACAAGATTAGTTTGGCATGACCTCCCTGAAGTAAACCCTGTTATAGACTTTGGGTGTCAAACCATTACCTGATGGGTATCCAGCAGAACTACATCTCATCTGGTTACAAGTGGACTGACCGGGGAAAACATTGTATAGTTGACTGCAGAGACACTGACAATCCTATCAGTAGCTATACTGAGAAATTACCGGACGGTAAAGAGAAATAACACACCAGAATGAGAGAGTCCTCATGAAATGCACATATTTCTTTACGTCTTTGATACCTTCATTTTTTTTTTTTTTTGTATTTTAAGAACTCTAAATTGTCTTGTGGTTTAAAAGTGTTTATAAATTAGCTTGTGTATCTAAAGCAGTGCTGTACTACACATTTCTAACTGTTGTCCCCAATTCACCCACGCCATGCATCCAGATGTTCCTCTTAAACCTCCACCAAAATATCCAGAGACTTTTGTTTTGAGTCCCTGCTTTTACACAATTCTTATTTCCTTTTATTTCCCATCTTTGGCGTCTTTGCTCTCTGACTTACCCTGGGTAAAAGATCTTATTGATTTCTTCATGCCATTCTTCCTACTAGCTTTCCTAAGAATGCAAGAAAAAATGGAGTAGGAGGGGCTCTGTAATAGAAAACGAGACCTTCCATCAATGAACAGAAAAAACACGAATATAAACTTTAAAGCAACTTTTATCTGTCTGATCTCTATATCACATGCTGAGGATGATTAGGACCATCCATATAAAGGTCTGTGAGTTTTGTGCGCAAAAAAAGGCCTTTTGTTTTTGTCAGTAGGTGCCTGCCCTTCCCTGAAAATGTCCATACCAGAAGAGCCTATGAACTACGGCTGACTTCACCCTGGTCTTCCTACATGTGAACATTTTATCTTACACTGTGTCTATTGTGCATCTTGTTAAAGGGACACTATAGGCATCAAGACCATTTCATCTCATTGAAGTGGTCTGGGTACAGTGTCTACCAGACAGCCTCTAGAGTTGCTTCCTTTAGTAACAATGCTGGACGTCGTCAGGCTCTGCATGAGAACATCCAGCATCAGAGAAAACCCTGTAGGAATGCATTGACTCAATGCTTTCATATTGGAAAGGCCTAATGCATGTGACACTTGCTGCGCAGGCGCTTCAGATCCCCCTGTCGTATGATGAGGAGGATGCGAACCAGAGGCCATTACATTGTTGGGGATACACCTTTTGTAATCCTAACAATATAGTTTTCCTTTACGCAATGGTACTAGCCGTATTGGATTACAAGATTACAAATGAGAGGGTTTATAAGCTCTTACAAATGCTTACTGAGCCTTCAACGGTTTTTGAAATAGCTGTACTTATGATCGTGTAGGCCCCAAACAACGAACTACTTAATAGTTTAAAATACAAACATTGTATTAATGCTCCAAAGGTGGTAAATCTCAAGACTACATTCAGATAGGGGGGAAAAAAAATTGAGACCGAAACAAAAATATATACTTGTCCTGGATTTGAGGTGACAGTCCAGATTTTGGACTGCTGTTCTGGGCTCCCAAAAAGAGCAGGAGGGCGTTTCTGCTAATGGTCAACGTAGATTGACTACTTGGGAGGCCTGCATAACATCTCTGACAGACCGCCATTCCAGGGGCTGTTGTTCCTAAAAATGGGACGCGTGGTAACTGCGAAATCACAGAGCTTTCATATATCAAAAAGATTGTTTGGTTTTTATGGTACATCTTCTGAAATGTCAGCCTTTACATGGGATCTTCAAACAAAAAAATCCTATACTGTTATTTAAAAAAACAAAAAACAAACCAAAAACAACAATTTGCAATACAGTAGCTGCAATGAAAAGTATGAAAGCATACCCTTTGTGTAATGATATGGTAATGACGTTCAATATTTAACTTTAAGAAGCAGAGTATTCAGCGATCGCAAACGTCAAAGCTATGATTACATCCTTTCCACATAAATGTGGTTTAATGACTATATGTTGTGCACAAGATTTAGCTGACAAAAGTCACTTGTTCATTATACAGGAGTGTGTGGCTTTCTAATTATATATTTTACCCAAAATGTGTTGAAATTTAGACTTATAATTATTCAAACGTATATGTTGAAGGGCTAATACAACACAGCTCATGACATCAACACCTACCACATGATACAAAGCTTCTTAGTAAAGAATGTTGGCAGTTGAGAGTAGAGTTTATAGACGTCACTTAAGATGGATTCCGACAAACATTAACATAATATTTAAACAAAATTGCTCCTGTTCTTTGAATGACTGCAAATATAGGTTTCATTTCCAGAGGGGCACTCTATTCTCTTCTTTTCACTCTCCCTCTCCTCGCTTAGCATACTTCAGTATACAAGCGTATAATGAAAGAATAGCACCTTGTGTTTTTAGAAAATATATAGATGGCATGGGAGAGTTGGGGTGTAGAGTAGTAGCTATCGAGGAAAGAAAAGCCAATAGAGAGAGGAATTGAGGACAGAGGGAGAGCTAATAATGGTGGAGCAATTTGTATACCAACAGTTTCTAAATTGTTGCACAAATACCCACTTTCTTTTCATTTTCACATAATCCATCTAAGGCAGCAATATCTTGGTGTGCATTGATAAAGATCTTTTTACTCCGTCTGCCACACAACTTTTATATAACACTGGACTATAAAGTGGGGCTTGGTGCACCCTCCATGCAGCAAGTGTAATGTTTGCTTAGAAATTTGTTCTCACACGGAGTAGGAGTCATTCAGTTTACGTTAAAAAAAAAAAAAAAACAACAACAAAAAAAAACTGTTGGTTTATTAAGGCCATCCCCTATTCCTGTTTCACCCTTGTTGAGAATGGTCCATTCCACCACATGCGGTAGAAAGCATGCCCTCCCCATTGAGACACTGTATAGTAATGGCTCGTTTCAAACAATGAAATCTCCAGATTCATTTGATTTTATTATAAAAGTGATTTAAGAGAAAGGGAAAATTAGGACGGAAGAAAGCAGGCACTCTTGCTTCATTCCATTTCCAACAGTGAACCTAATTCTATGAGTTTCACGCCCCAGTACCTGCACCCTAGAATCATTTGTAGATTGCCATTCTTGTCCAAAGAGAAATTGTAAACCGCTAAGATCTTTAAAATATTCAACTCTGTTAAATACCTTTTCAGCATCCAATGATTGAAAGAAATATTTACCTGAGAGAAGGGTAGAAATGACACCGTACACACATACAATAAGTAACTAAGAAGAAAAATATTTTAGAATGGGGTAGAAGTAAGAAAAAGAATGCAAAGTTAATATGTAAAATGCTTCATAACATTTATTTCTATTTCTTTATTTTGCAAAAACTATACAGAATAGGATATGAAAAAAATTGCAGCTAATTAGTCCGGTGAAACGGTGTAAAATATATTCAAATTACGTTGTTACCTATAGTGTCCCTTTAATAAATGAAATCTTACATGAAATAAAAATGTTGTCTGTAGCTACAAACTGTTGATGGAGTATTTTTAGATAAATGTGAATTATGTAATTTCTCTTTTCACAGACAGAGGTCTATGGCTTGGCAAAAAAGATCAACCGAACTTCTATTCAGGTGGAACGCTGGTTCCGGAGGCGGCGAAATCAGGATCGGCCTGCAGTGATGAAAAAGTTCCAGGAATCCTGGTAAGGATGTAAAATGATACTAGAGATGCTAAGTTAAAAATGTCATAGTGATGCTTCAGTGGCACAGCTTTCATAAAACATCAGTGTAATTACAACATCGTTCATAATCGACCGGAATTAAAGTACACTGCATCTGAGGACAAGTCTATATTTTACAACATAGAGCAGTGGATCCCAGCTCTTTCTGAAACAAGACAAACTACAGTGGGAGCAAACTTTTCAAGGCATACCTTTTTACATTATACCTTCATCCGCACGTTATTAATGTCACACTATACTTCTACCTAAACTGACTTTTTAGCTTTAATTTAAAAATCACACTTCATGTTGAGGCTTTAAAAAAAAACATACATTTTAAACACTGAATTCAAGCTACCACGGTTCTGAAGTTACTATGTTTATGGCACACTGGTTTTAAACCATTGATTTTGAAGAGTATTGTCCTCTAACCAGACAAAGTCAAGATGAAAATGATGGCATCTTAATGAAAGTTGATAGTCCCTTAACCTGCTGCTTTTTGCAGCTGATTCCATTACTTCCTCGATTACTGGTGTCTGGAAAGGATCATGGGAAGGACCATCTTTGCCCAGCACCTCTCCTGGCATATCAATAAAGGGAAGGGGCTGAATGCAAGCTGCAGCTCAGGAATGTAACTTCCACCACTATATGTGCTTATACTGACCCTAGATCAGGCATAGGCAACCTTTGGCACTCCAGATGTTTTGGACTACCCCCCATGATGCTTTGTCAGCATTATGGGTGTAAGAGCATTATGGGGGATGTCCACAACATCTGCAGTGGAACCGAAGGTTGCCTACCCCTGTCCTAAATTAAAGGAGCCCTAATGCCAAATATACCATAACTCTCATTATACCCCTGTTCTCCCCCAAATAAAAATATGTAATAGAAAAATGTAAAACATAATCTCCAGTCTCCTTTTTATTAGAATGTTTTCATAAGTCTGATTTTAGTTATTTTCCTGTTGTAAATCTTATAGTGCATGTTCTTTACTTGATCTGTGGTGAGCAGCACCTCTTGCTGTGTATCTTTTTAAACATGCAGAAAATTTCACTCAGATTCCTTTTTTTTTTTGAGGAGACTGTGTCTGCCTGGTTTACATTGAACGTAAGCAGAGCAGGCCCTCCGAGACACTTTCCATTATTTGCATGTGATAAAGTTACAAATCTCAGCTCTGTGTAATTTGTATACAGTGTGAGAGGTGCTGTGTTTGGATAACACAAAGGGGACTGACTGCTGTGGCACTCAATGTGCAGAGACTGACGGACCACACCCTTCTAGTACGCTGTAGCCTGTCAGTTCTCAAACCTCTGAATCAGCACAGCTTTCCCCATGACGTGTTCTGTTACTGCAAATAACTCAGGGCTTAGAAAATAAACTATGCGTCATCTCTATTCCCACAAGACTCACTTTGGCTGGCAGAAATATGGCACCCTGACTGCTTGACCACTCATTTAACATGGAGAAATAAGTTACACAGCTCAATTGTGCATGTATGGAACCAGCTATATTATATGTATACTATGATTAGAATGCACACAAAAAACAAGAAATCATGCCGCATTTATATGATCGGCATTTATATGAAATGACATATTGAAATACGTTCATATCTAAATGTAAAGGTTATGGGAGCTGTCCGATGAGATTTACTGTGGCACAAGCCTTGCATTTTACAGAAAGCACATAATGGCAGGTACTAAAATAAACTGAAAAAGAGAGAGCATAAAATAAATAAATAAATGAATAAAACAACGTCTATACAGAGAAGCCGTCTGGTTGAACAACTGACCTAGGGCTGTCCAATCTGTACACAAAACAATATAGTGAAAAAATGAATACTATAGGTATAAAATAGGTGCCAGCAGCTGAAACACAAAAATAATTTCCCAACTTCTCAAAATAGAATGCAGATAACAATGCCAGCCCTTAGTGAATCTGCCCCTCTAGAATATTGTAGGGGTATATTAGAACAGTTCTATATAATAAGAGATCCTAAAATAAAGTTTATCGGTCCATTTATGATAAAACATAAAATATGAATAAAAGTAGTAATAGTCACTGGGGGGTCAAAATCTTGTCCGTATCAATGTTGAACCACGTAGTGTACTGGGTATACCTTAAAAATAAGGAAACAGAATATAGTGTAACACTGTAAATTTAATACCCTAGTACCAAAAAAAACCCAAGTTAGAAACTCTTACAAGATTAAAATGTGGTACCTATCTCTAAGAACCACTATCTCAGCTTGATATACAATAAATTCTACCAGGATAGCAAAGGGGATACCGGATCCTCCAGAGGAGACCGCGTCTGCCTCGTGCACTGCAGCAGACAGTCCACGATCTTATTCTGGAGGTAAGTCCCGCTGGATGCTGGAGCCTTGTGTGAAGTAGTCAAGTGCTGAGGTTAAAGTCCAGCACCTTCAACGCGTTTCGCCCTTCTTATGAGGGCTTTCTCAATATGTTTTTTTGTGCTAGGGTATTACATTTACAGTGTTACATTATATTCTGTTTCCTTATTTTTAAGGTATACCCAGTACACTACGTGGTTCAACATTGATACGGACAAGATTTTGACCCCCCAGTGACTATTACTACTTTTATTCATATTTTATGTTTTATCATAAAGGGACCGATAAACTTTATTTTAGGATCTCTTATTATATAGAACTGTTCTAATATACCCCTACAATATTCTAGAGGGGCACATTCGCCAAGCACTGGCATTGTTATCTACATAATGGCAGGTGTACAGAGGATTTACAGGAATCATTCTGGCATGATTCGGAAAACAGTTTGTGCCTTAGTGTAATGACACGATCTGTGGCCACTGGATCACTAGGGACTAAGGTCCTCTTCCCAAGGATAAGATGGAAGATGGACAGGGGATATGACAAGGGAAGACTTTTAAGGAGCCCTACAAATGCTATGGCTTGTCCTGAATTGCTTTCAGATGATAAATATACAAGCAGTGTTGATGGGACAGTTCAAGTATCACTATTTCACTTATTCACTCTCCCCATTAAAGTTGCCACGTCTGTCTCTTAGGGATTCCCTTGTTTAATTCTTGCCTCTGACTACCCTTACTATATCAGTTTATTGTCCCCGCCTCGTCCCGCTGGCACACCTCCTTGGCTGAGATCATCAAGATTGATTATCTCAGCCAATCCAATGCTTTCACCTGAAGAACTGCAGCTTAATGTAGTTGTTCTGCTGAGTATAGCCTGTACCTGTAGCTTTTTTTTGCTGTAAACACTGCAGTCTAGAGACACTCTTCAGATGGCCACTGGAAATGCTTCCTGGACCAGTGCTGTACAGTGATACTGATTGGCCATGCCCCTCCTTCTTGACGATCTCCTATGGGAAAGCATTGTATTTGCTGAGATCATCAATTCTGATGATGTCTGCCAAGGAGTCAGATCGGGGAGGGGCAAGTGCAGGTGGACCGACGTGGTGCTGGAAATAAGGTGAGTTTATCTTTTAAGGGGGGCAAGCCACCTAAATGTTGGTTTAAACACTGCAGGGTCAGGAATATATGTTTATGTTCCTGACCTTATAGTTTTCCTATAAATTCCCTAGGAATTCCTGGTTTAGAGAATAACTATAACATAGCTTCAGAATTTGACACTTGATAAAAAGAAACAATGATTACAGTAATGGGATTAATTCACTTTTTGATATATCAATTATTCTCTAAGTACAGAAAATACTGCTAGTGTAAAAAGGGTTTAAAAAAAACAAACAAATACAACTAAATAGTCCTAAAGCCTTAGAGGCATTGAGCAATATGCCAAAACAACTATCCTCGGTGGATGTGTTGCTGTGGGAGTTCTGCTTCCATAATGAGTCCACACTCGTCTTCAGTCCTCCTTCTATATTGATTTTCTTCTTAGACATCCAGAGCACTGTCAACATATTTATCAATGGCCCACCATCAAAATATGTCCCCACTGCTATGTTCCACCAGCAAGTGGTGAAAGGGCTGAGGATAACCAGAAAACATTGAGTGTGAAGAATATGAAAAAAATATGACTAAAACAAATTCTGAGGAACCCAAGAATTGTTCGTTTTCTAGAACATGTGCTTAAACATATAAGATCGTGAGAAGAATGTCATTGTTTTGTGTTTAAAAGGAGACCAAAAAAAAAAACACACCTTCTACGGAGACGGTGTCAAGTCACTCGAATGGTGGGGTGGGGAGTGGGGAGTGGGGGTTGACCCCCAGGATGAATAAACTATTTGCAAAATGAACACAAGAACTAACCATGCAGGAGATGAACCCTCATGGATAGTGTAACAATAATAAAACATAACTTTTAATGTATTTAAAATATAAAAGGAACTGAAGAAAACTTTAAGTAAGACTGACAGACAGGCATATTGATTTTGTGCCAGAGACCACATGTACGGTGCCATTTTTAGATTAATGCTGGGTAATTGCAGAGTAACTTCATTCCGAGATGGTGCCTGAAGCGTTTTAATGGCCTTGCCAATGATACAGCAGTTTAGAAACACCACAAAACAAAGGATTCTTGCTCTGAAGGACATGACAGAAGAAGTTACGGCTAAATCGTGGCAACCGAACATTGCTTTTTGTACACACACGTCTGTGCTCCCTTTATGTGTATATTTTATTTAAAATAACAAACACAAAAACACTTGTTAGTTTTTAGCAAGAGAAAAACTTTTAACTGGGAACTGTCTGTTCTCACGATTTTTATAGTATGTTTACTTAATACTTACATTAACATGCATATTTGTGAAGTAGAAAAAGCTAAAAACAAATACAGAAAAGCGCTCTTTATACAGCAACTGGTGCCTCCATCTTGGCACTCTGTCAGTCATTGTTATAAATTGTCATTTACAAAAATTAAACAATATTTCTATTTCTCCTTATTTGCAACGTGTGCCTGGATTGAATTGGATTGTGATGTCATTTGCACAATTTTAATATAATTTCAACAGATCATTAGGTGGAAATAAAAGTTACACTAGTTATATGGTAGAATTTCCAGAGACAGTATTGTTCCCTTTTAGTTGGGTAAAGCATAACAATATAGAATGTGTGCATGATCTGGGTGGGACCAACAAACCATACGTTGATTCCGTGAAGACTTATCCTACAAGCAGTCATCATGTGGAAAGGTGTCTGGAAGAAAATCTTTCCAGTAGACTAGCTAACTTTAAGGGCTTCAGCTTTAATATAGTGTAATTAGAGGCTGCATGAAACCACTAGGGACAATAATTACCAATCAACAGGAGAGCAATCAACCTTAATTTCAGAACAGGATGAAGCAATTCCAACAAGCTGCCGTAATCTTGTTAGAAAGAGGACACACTGGAGTTAAGTTACCATCTGCTAACTTTTCCCTGCAGACCCAATAAATTATTTGGAGAATTGTTGTGTAACCAGCCAGGGAAGGCTTTTTTGTGTGCAGTCTGATATGCCATTGTTTGTGTAGTAAAGCTCTGTCTTTAAAACAGCAATGAATTACAATTCCTATCATGATTAGCCGAATAATGTTCTTAAAAGCACAACTAGGTTTTTTCGACTACATCAGATAATTGTATGTTCTCAAGTATATAAGCTTATAAATAGATTTGTGTTACAGATGCTGAAAATACACACAGTATCACCTGCCCAAGCAAGCTGAGATCAGACAGTTGGTGCCGTGGCAATACCTCATTGCTTTGCCTGCAACACAAATGCATGCCAATGTTGGCGCTGTGTGTGCGTGGAGCTGGTCAGCTGATATTCTGCCACACAGGACCACTTGCATACTAGCTCTGTGTGACCTGTGCAGCAATGGAAATGGCATAGGCACATTAAGTCTTGTGAGTACAAATAGGGATGCAATAAAGGCAGCAAAGGCATTGGAAATTTCTTATGGAACCAGGACTATAATTGTTTTAATTGCACATAAATAATATGCCACCCTTCGCAGTAAATATCTGAATGTTATCTTTGAAGTAAGCTCATTTTTTAAAATTTCTTAGTGGGTTTATGTCCAGTGAAGTCAAAATATTTGTTTTCGGTAGTTTCATTTATTTTTTAAAATAGGCTTTATTAATCACTGTATGGGGTATAATATATAATATTTTGACATTGTGCAAAATGTAAAAATCTGAGAGCTCAAATATGGTAAACCTCAGAATAACCAAGCAGAGTTTATAGATTTGTCTGACATACTGACTCTTGAAAACCCAGAAATGATGCAATCTGTGCTTAATAGACTGATTTTTTTTTTTTTTCATGGATGAACTAAGGAAGCTCTGTACCAATTACAGTATATTAACCAGATCTTTTTTTACATCTGGTGTGTCCTGATTTTAAACATCTCTATATGTTCCTTTGCAGCTGGAGGTTTATTTTTTATCTTGGAGCTCTGGTCGGAGGAGTTGCAGTTCTTTACGATGTAAGTAACATTTTGGCATGCAAAAATGGATATATTTGAATCAAAAGTAAAATATTTTCAATACTATTTTGAGTACTGGATGAAATGTAATGGAAATACTCAGTTTTCAATTCTTGTGCAAACATTCTAAAAGGAACTTTGGTTGTGTGTTATGCAGTTACACTACATAGGTTTTAATGAGATTTTCTATACCTTGTCATTATTTATAATGGTATAACTTGCTATATTTATAAAGTAAAAAGCTAAAAAGTGTCCTATTTTTTTCCTTTTGGAAATAGTGCAGATTTCAACATAAATCGAAATTTTTATAAATTCTACTGGTAAGTGGCTTATGAAGCAGACCTGTCCTGTTACTTCCTGGTTTGGTTAGCTTAGTTGCATTGAACTCAAGAGGAGGCAATTGCCCAGAACACCTGCTTTGCAAATACAATTGAGCTGCACAGGGAAGTAAGTGATTGGACAGCCACAGAAAGTCTGGGTGGGGTTAGGAGAGGAGGGATTTCAAAGACCACAGAGAAGAGGTCTGCAGTTTTTGGAAGGTGTTTTTTTTTTTTTTTTGATGATTTGATAATTTGATGATTTCAATGAACAAAGTTTGGAGATATCTATCAAACAGTGATTTATTTATTTTTTTTTGTATTTTTTTTTTTTTGTATTTGGGCATTTGAGTGTGCCTTTAATGTCGAAGTTTTTGTTTATACAGTGTGTTGTGGACAGAAATATTAATTTAGTTTATATTAGTAAAATGCCTATTTACTCAGAATAATTATAATCAGCATTATTCAATTCTCATGTGATTAACTAAAATGGCTGCTGGGGAGTTTCCCCTCTAACATCGACTAACTACCTCAAGACAAGATGGCGCTGGAATCTGGGGGAGACCCTCATGATGCCAGTGACATCAACTCCTGTAGGCAGAGCATTAGAAGAACCACTTAACACCTAACCAATTAATTATGTATTATTTCATGTTATCGTTGACAAAGCATATGATGTAATCCTGCTTTAAAAGGGACCTGCCGTCCCCTCTGAATAAACATTCCTAAGTTTTTCATCAACCAGAAACTTGTGTCCGGTGTGAAATTACTTCAGGAGCGTGCACACACTTCTTTTTCAATTTGGCCAGGGGCAGATACACATAATAATCAATATTATTGATTGATTTCCATTTCACAGTGATAGCCAGATATAGGCTAGTTGACCATTGTGTAACAATTAAACACTATATAAGGTTGCATACTTTGGTATAGAAAAACAGATATGCAGTACGGAAGGTATGCAGCATAATGATTAGCAATGCTAATAATGCAATATTAGGAACACTTTGTATGTGCAGCAACTCTGTTATATAAACTATATAGCGGATGGTTAGTTACCATTACAATTGTATTTACGGTTTCACAATGAATAAACAAGGCAGTCTGGTACCCTGAATAGTGGCACTTGTTTGAGGGTTTAATTTGAGTTGATGTCATCTTAACCTGTTATTGACCAGATTATAGAAGAAAGTGACGAAGGTTTGTTGAATACATCCTGCAATTTCTTTTAGACTATCAAAACACTTTCCTCATGGAAAAACCGAAGATATTCTCTCTATTAACTTGGCTCAAGGGGCTTCCCGCTGATTAAAAATCACAAACCTCTTCCCAGCAAGGGATAATATACTCTGCCTCTTTATTCACAGGTGATTTCCCACGAACAAAGTGCTGTATATATTTGTAGCTGGCAGTACATTGAATAACATTCATTCATTGCAAGGGAAAAAAACATCTGATTAAAGTTGGCTTGCATAAGGCTTATTGTTGTGCTGAAATGTGTTTCTCTGCCTTTTTCAGAAACCTTGGTTTCACGATGTATGGGAAGTTTGGGTGGGCTACCCAAAACAGGCAAGTGCCACAATGTTTTATAGTATATATCGTTGTTCTATCTATCATATCTTTGCTCTACAAATACGTTTCTGCTTTTTCACATATCCAGTTGCCTTTTGATAGCTTTATCAATTGTTCTGTAATAATTTCTTAGTTTTTGTTGTTTTCTTTGTCATTTACTGCATTTCGTATTGCAACATATTCCTTATTATGAGTGTAAGTAGAGATTTAGTAGGCATTTGTTTTTTAGATCTTATTACCAGCAATAAAGTATACTTTAGGGCATACGTTAAATCTTTGTAGGCGAAGGATATTCTGAGTTATATATTGAAGCATAGTGGATAAAGCCCTCTCTCATAAGGAGAATTGACTGAGGTGCAAAATGTCAGGAGAATGATGGATAAGGAATACAAACTTGAAATGGCATTTATTACAGATTGTAAAACAATGTTACTCCAACCTCCATGACCACTTCTCCTTTTAGAAGTGGTCATGGAGCAAGCAATCTGTACGTGCAGTGTTTCTGCTTGAATCGCTGCACATACAGAGATATCTGGACTTTTATGCCCCTCTGTCCATCCCTCCCTGCGTAATGTCAGACCTCCCTCCCTTCCTAATTCCTACTTTCTATTCTGTGTCTCCCTTCTACTCTACCTTCTCCCCCCCCCACCCATCTACTCTTCTGGCAGCTGAATGGCCATTAATTGGCACTCACTGCGCATGTGCCGATGCTGCATTAGTGCTTCTCATTGCTTCTTCATCATTTGATTGGACAGTGACTAGGAAGAAGATGACCTGGTATGACAACAAAGGAGACTTAGAAACTAGGTTATGGTTGAAGATGAAGTTGCAGTAATAAAGACAGGAAGTAATGCATGCATATCACCTTTATTTTAATTGACATATTTTTGCCTGCTGTGAAAGTCGTGTTTATTATTTAAGTTTTGTTTTGAGCCAGAACTTAAGATCTTTGTGCGGCTCTGACAAAACGTTGTTGGATATTGAGTATTCCGTCCTGTATTTGTTTCTAATGTTATCATTTGGATTTGTGTTGTCTTTAGGAAGTACTGACGTCCCAGTACTGGTACTATATACTGGAATTGAGCTTCTACTGGTCCCTTCTATTCAGCATTGCCTCGGATGTTAGAAGGAAGGTAAGAGCAAACTTGTGCATGCAGACAATTGTGTGTCTATGGTTTACAATAACATGCTCAGGATTGCCCATTCCTGTGTTTTCCATGTGTGTTCTCTTTTCAGAAAGGAAGTAAAAGGAAACCGAAACCCGTGACAGGTTACAATCTCTGACATGTCTTTAGAAGGAAATAGCAGGCATTTTTGTTTTACTTTCAGTAATATTAAAGCTTAGTGTTAAAATCTCTGGAGTGCCTGCTTTACAATAAGAATAACTACGATCATGTTCAACTCAGTCTGTTATCTGCTGCATCAAACAGGAACTGGAAGTATGACTAAATACTAGTTATACATTTTGTGTTTAAACCATATAGTCTAGCACTCTGTATCTTAATTTTATTCAAGTTATTACAACTCAGTGGGTATTGTTTAATAGGTTTTGAAATTTAGGATTTTAACCTGTAAATGTAGCGCCAGAGACTTGGCCCGCCGAGGTCTGTGGATGCTCTTTCAAGTCTGAATTCTTCATCATGTGAATAAACATTAATTTCTGTGGCTAGCAAGCTGCAGATTTCTTCTTGGGGAAAAAAAAAGTGATAAAACATGATGATTGAAATCTATTCATGTGCAGATGCACATGCAGAAGCAGGCAATAATTTCCATCGAGCTCAGCAGAGACCCAGGTGCCATGGAACCACACAGCACTTCAATGGTTGTAGCAATTGGATTCACTTTGTTAGTGCCCACAGTGGAGTTTTTTATCTTTCTTCATTTTGTGACTAGCATATATACACCATCAATCTTAATATTTTACGTGGTGTCACTCACAGATTGCCTGTATGGTTTTGGCACCACACCCATTCATGAAAGCACAATGCATCATGAAATGACCATAAACATATTTTTTTTTTTTTTTTTTTTAAAGGATAGATATTTTTAGAACTGTAATGTGGTAAAACTGTTTTGAACCAGGCCAGGCATATTCCTTTATATATTCTTAGCTTAGCTGTGTTGGTGCTGCTGTTTACAACAATAGTGAAAATAGTGCCAGTACCTTAGTCTGAATGAGGAGTTATCCTATCACTAGCTTCCTATGTACACAGTAAGCTACACACACAGCTGAAATGAGGATAGATGGAGGGATGCTTTTGGCCTTTTGTAGACGTCATGAATGAGCACCAAAGCTGACCCACTTCTAACTATAGTTGGACAGGTTGGAGCACATATATTCTATTATGCTGTGTTTATTAAACATAATCTTTTTAACTAGAGTATTGTATTTGAGTATGTGTGTAATTTCACTGTTTTCTCATTGCAGGACTTCAATGTACAAGTCGTTCACCATTTAGCCACCATTTTTCTCTTGAACTTTTCCTGGAGCGTCAAGTATATCCGTGTGGGCACACTCACCCTGTTGGTTCACGATGTCTCAGACATTTTACTGGAGGTAACATTTTCACCTTGATTTTTAATTGCGAATTAGCTTGTTTAAAATATTTCAAACAAAATGTGAGATTTTAGCATTTTTTTTTTTCACCTTGACAGCAGGCAGAGACATACTGGATTTAAATATCTAACTCTTGTTTCTTTTTCTGTCCTCAGGCTGCCAAAATGTGCAGTTATGCAGAATGGAAGAAGTCGTGCAATGCCCTCTTCATTTTGTTTGCAGTGGTTTTTGTCATTAGCCGACTCATTATCTTCCCCTTCTGGTAAGCCATATCCCAGAGCCAGATTCATATTTGTGCAATGACTCTTACCTACTCATTGGATACACATTTAGTGTTTGTGAATGGGAACAGTTGACTAGACTTTTGAGTTTAACAAGGGAAGGTAGACAACCTTACTCATGGGATGAATAAGCGAAGTAAAGAGAGCGAGATGAAGAAGGTATAGAAAGAAAAGGCGTCTGAATGAAACATGTCCCCTACAGCGATGGGCCCTATTGAACCTGATAAGCCTTGCGCTGTGACCATACATTTTGTAAGGGTGTTTCATATAATGGTTGTTTCAGGATAATCGTTTAAGGAGTATAACTACTGCATCCATGACTGGACTCTCCTTGCAGCTAGTGTAACTAGAGTTTCTTCTCTTAGGGATGTCAGACCCTCCAAGGGTCTCATTGAAGTTGTTTATTAAAGATGCTAGCTATCAGGTTATCTGTTAAGGTGTATCTTTCTCTGCTGATGGAATACATCGTCCTCAGCTATCAAGTTGTTCAATAACATTCTACATGTTTTACATGGACAAACATGTGGTGATTCATTCTAATGTCTGGATACTGCTACACATGTAGATAATTCTACAAACAGATCCAGCACACCACAGTAGTGAAAAAGATTTGATTGCAGTCCCACAACAAGAAACATTCAACCTAACAAGAATATCTTTGTCAAGCAGTTAGCATAGACACATTCTGGCTCTAGAATAGCTGTACTGCAGATCTAATTGACTGAACATGGCAATGCCACCTTTCCTGTCATTAACTTTACTTTTAAGTACTGGACTCTAAACCGACTCAATAAGAGCACAAAACTCTACTCTACACCAGTGATTGTCAACCTTTTCTGAACTGTGGCACACTTTAATAAGATGACAAATTCTAAGGCACACCTGTTCAGTGCACATATGTTACCTGAACTGGTGCGTTCCAATTCCTACAAGTTATCATTAAAATTTAAATGCATGAGCATTTTATTTATTGAAAAAAACACTTATGAAATAAACTCTACCTCTCAGCAAAAACCTTTTAATAGTAAGAATAATAATGGTGGCTGGATGAGTATTTTACTTTTGTCCAGGGTACTGAAATGACTGATTTGCACACAGGTCCCTGTAACCCCATTGAATACCGTCATTGTAAACCGTATAGCCGAATTTTGAAACAAACCTGATTACCCAATTGCACTAATTTACATGTGGCTGCCTCACATGTAGAAGCAAATCCCAACAAAAGTATTCAAACTCCGAGTGGAAAGCCTTCCTAGAAGATTAAGACTATTAACGCAAAGGGGCACATTTTAAAATCAATGATCTTTTTATGCAATATTCAACATACAAGTGCCATTGCACTTTTGGCCACGAAGTATACTTGTCGGTAAACAAAGTGATCAGAAATTCGAAACCCTTTGTGCATACGGCCTGTGCCAAATGAGAGTGCACTTTGAGCAACCATAATAAAAACAAAAAACTGCTCATTTTGCTTCATTAATCACACATGCGCACACACACCTAGCAGATCCTCTGTGACTTAGTACATAGTCAGAAGGGACATCAAGTTTACCTAGTATATCATTTTGTTTAGTGGGGTGTTTGCTTAGGTTGCTGTCTTAGGATGCAAATAACATAATGCAGATAATGTAAGTTTTTACACATGAAAGCGAATACATAATGTACATTAGGAGTGATGGTAAATCTCGTAAAACACTCTGGGCTGCAATTTAAAGGTAATCTATATAACCTATTTCATTAAATAGAGTTTGCATTTCCAGATGGCTCTCCAATAATTTCTCGTGTTGGAAGCTGTCCCATGACTTGTTAAACTTTGTTTATGCTGTAACAAAGCAAAGAAGGCATTCTCTCTGCAAGCAAACGTGTTTAAAGTATGGAATGGGAGTTTAATCAAATTAACCATTATAATGAAACTTCACTGCAAATGCAACGTGTAGAAGTTGTCTTTTATGCACACACACAAATACTGTATATTCACAGATTTGCATATCTCTAAGAAGCATGATTAATGGAGGATGTGATGCTGTGAGTATACAAGAAGAGTGCATGGATATGGTCATCCACGGCAAACACAGAAGTACATTATTAAGTGTTCTTGCATAGCAAGACCACTTATTGTTATCTCACATATATATTATTAAGTGTTCTTGCATAGCAAGACCACTTATTGTTATCTCACATATATATTATTATTATTATAGCCAAATTTGCCACCCTAACTCCTCCCACAGTTTTTACACTACATAGACAAAAATTTACCAAAACGTGCAGATTGGTCCCGATCGGATTGCTATTACTATGTGGAACGTTTCGCTGAATGGTTCACGGAATATCGTCGTTCTTGTGGTGAAATTTGTCCCATAGGAATGAATGGCAAAGCTAGAGTGGGAGCTGGCAAAAGCTGAAAAATCAGGACATGATTTCTAAACTGCCACCACTCCCTTATTTTCAGGCCCACCTACACAAATCTTATATCAAAACGTTCAGCTATCCCTGCTGCCTCTAAACATGTCAACGGCTAAGCCATAGTCCTCATAGTTTTCACAATATAATCATTTGTTGGCAACTAACGCCGTCCATTGACATTCATTGAAACTTCACTCTACAAAGCTCAAATTTGAAGTGCAATTTCTAAACTGCGACTGTGCCTTCATTTTTAATACTTCAGAGACATACTATGCATCAAAATGTAGGTCTGGGTCTTGTGATTCTCACAATATAAAGCTCTTCGCTGTAGGATTTATAGTTTTTAAAATACGACCGTTTGAAGATGGCAACCCGCCAAAATACTCTGACCTGTGCCAGGCTGCAGCAGCAAGTGATGTCATAGACAGGGCCTTTTGAACATCTGCTAATGTTTTTATAAATGTATGGTTTAATGTAACTGCAACAACGTTGTAATTAAATGTGCTATATAAATAATAACAGTTACTCCGCCCACTCCAGTTGTAGACTACTGGTGGAGGCAAGAACACTTCACACAATTTCCCCAGAAATTGTAGCTTTTCTAGTTGAGAAAATGACATGTATATTGAAAGGCACAAAGTCGAGCATTAGGCTAGTGCCCTAACAAACACAAATAAGTGGTTTACTTCATGTGTGAGGTCTGGCTCTAACCTGAATATAGTTAACTGCTTAAATGCTGACATAATTGGCATTCCAGAACCTGGAGCAGATTTGTTTGGGGATTACATTGCTAACCACGATAATAACCAGCTCTCAGAAAAGCTCTTTCTTTGCAAGTCCACTTAGTTCTGAAAATGTGCTGAATTGTAATATATAATAATACACTGCTCAAAAAAATAAAGGGAACATTTAAACAACATAATGTAACTCCAAGTCAATCACACTTCTGTGAAATCAAACTGTCCACTTAGGAAGCAACACTGAGTGACAATCAATTTCACATGCTGTTGTGCAAATGGGATAGACAACAGGTGGAAATTATAGGCAATTAGCAAGACACCCCCGATAAAGGAGTGGTTCTGCAGGTGGTGACCACAGACCACTTCTCAGTTCCTATGCTTCCTGGATGATGTTTTGGTCTCTTTTGAATGCTGGCGGTGCTTTCACTCTAGTGGTAGCATGAGACGGAGTCTACAACCCACACAAGTGGCTCAGGTAGTGCAGCTCATCCAGGATGGCACATCAATGCGAGCTGTGGCAAGATGGTTTGCTGTGTCTGTCAGCGTAGTGTCCAGAGCATGGAGGCGCTACCAGGAGACAGGCCAGTACATCAGGAGACGTGGAGGAGTCCGTAGGAGGGCAGGAGGACCGCTACCTCTGCCTTTGTGCAAGGAGGAACAGGAGGAACACTGCCAGAGCCCTGCAAAATGACCTCCAGCAGGCCATAAATGTGCATGTGTCTGCTCAAGTGGTCAGAAACAGACTCCATGAGGGTGGTATGAGGGTCCGACGTCCACAGGTGGGGGTTGTGCTTACAGCCCAACACCGTGCAGGACGTTTGGCATTTGCCAGAGAACACCAAGATTGGCAAATTCGCCACTGGTGCCCTGTGCTCTTCACAGATGAAAGCAGGTTCTCACTGAGCACACGTGACAGATGTGACAGTCTGGAGACACCATGGAGAACGTTCTGCTGCCTGCAACATCCTCCAGCATGACCGGTTTGACAGTGGGTCAGTAATGGTGTGGGGTGGCATTTCTTTGGGGGGCCGCACAGCCCTCCATGTGCTCGCCAGAGGTAGCCTGACTGCCATTAGGTACCGAGATGAGATCCTCAGACCCCTTGTGAGACCATATGCTGGTGCGGTTGGCCCTGGGTCCCTCCTAATGCAAGACAATGCTAGACCTCATGTGGCTGGAGTGTGTCAGCAGTTCCTGCAAGACGAAGGCATTGATGCTATGGACTGGCCTGCCCGTTCTCCAGACCTGAATCCAATTGAGCACATCCGGGACATCCTGTCTCGCTCCATCCACCAACGTCATGTTGCACCATAGACTGTCCAGGAGTTGGCAAATGCTTTAGTCCAGGTCTGGGAGGAGATCTCTCAGGAGACCATCCGCCACCTCATCAGGAGCATGCATAGGCATTGTAGGGAGTTCATACAGGCACGTGGAGGCCACACACACTACTGAGCCTCATTTTGACTTGTTTTAAGGACATTACATCAAAGTTGGATCAGCCTGTAGTGTGTTTTTCCACTTTAATTTTGAGTATGACTTCAAATCCAGACCTCTATGGGTTGAAAAATTTGATTTCCATTTTTAAATTTTTGTGTGATTTTGTTGTCAGCACATTCAACTATGTAAAGAACAAAGTATTTCAGAAGAATATTTAATTTATTCAGATCTAGGATGTTATTTTTGTGTTCCATTTATTTTTTTGTAAAAATCCAGCCTCTATTTTGGATCCCTCAGTGGAATATTATTATTATTTATTATTATTATTATTAGCATCTAAACAGTGCCAACTTATTCCTCAGCACTTTAAATATGTTGTCTCCTTATAAATGACAATGATTGTAATAATGATGGTGTATTTAAAAAAAAAAAAAAGTTGACCTCAAGAGGGTGATGCTACACAGGTGCCTGGTTGAATGAAGCTGTTATCAAACCCAGTCATAATGTACACCAAGATAGGGATGTGGTTTTTGTTGTTTTTGTTGATTAACTTTGTAGATTAACTTTGTAGTATCTGTATTATATAACAGGCAACCTAATTACTAACCTGTTGTTCATGGGGTATAAATTCTTTGTACTCTTTACAATGAGTGGGCCACAATGGGATGTGTGTTAGAATGGAGATACCACATATTTTTTTAAGTATGAAACCTTGTCTAAAACGCTCTTTCTTTTTTAGGATTATCTATGCTACAGTGGTCTACCCCCTGTACTACTGTCCGCGATTCTTCCTGTATTACTTCTTCAACATGCTTATGTTCACTCTGCAGTTTCTTCACTTGTACTGGACATACCTTATCTTCAGAATGGTGAAAAAAGTAATTTCAGGAAATGTAAGTTATGTGCTAAGTGTTCATACTGATCTAAATATTATTGGATATCAGAGCTCTGAGTTGCTTCACTCCTCCTTTATGCAATGTGTCTTTTGACATTTGTGTTAATTTTGGGTAAGGTAACTTTTTGGATCATAGATGTGAAATATAGTGTAGTGTTCTGGGATAACAGAAATCCTAATAATAAGAATCAAGAATGTAAATATTATTTATAGTTTTCTTCTGTCCTTAATAAAACACACACACACATAATATTGTGGCTGTATACTTGCACTCAGGCTGAATTTTCTATGGCCGGGTGCCAGTCCCAGAGGTCAAATGTTGCATGTTTTCTAATATTTGAAATATATTATATATATATAAAAAATATATATAAAAAAAAAAAAAAAACCCCATAAAAATATACCAGAGTATAAGTCGACCCAAATATAAGTCGAGACCTCTAATTTTACCCCAAAAAACTGGGAAAACTTATTGACTCAAGTATAAGACTAGGGTGGGAAATACAGCAGCTACACGTAAATTTCTAAATAAAATGATATCCCCCAAAAATTATATTAATTGAATATTTATTTACAGTGTGTGTGTGTGTGTGTGTGTGTGTGTGTGTGTGTGTGTGATGCAGAGCCTTGGTGGGGGGTTGGGCATTTTTATTATTTTTTTTTTTTAAATTTTTATTATTATTATTTTTATATATATTATTATTTTTTTATTATATTATTATTAAATTTTTTATTTATATTTTCATCCCCTCTCCCTGCTTGTTAGCTGGCCAGGGAGGGGGGCTCTCATTCCCTGGTGGTCCAGTGGATGGGCTGTGCAGGAGGGGGGCTGTCAGCTCCCTTCTCCTCTGGTCCGGTCAGCTCCCCTGTCAGCTCAACTGTAAGTCTCGCTATGTGACCGCTGCGCAGAGCGTTGCCACGGTAACCCGCGGCTCTCGCGAGACTTACAGGGGAGCTGACTGGACCGGAGAAGGGAGCTGACAGGAGCTGCAGGAAAGTTAAGTTACAGCTCGCTGCCGGCCCCCAACAGGACCGCCGGGCTTGAAATGAGCTCGGCGGTCCTGGTCTGTATTATGGCAATGTAAGTTGCCGTAATACAGACAGTGACTCCTTGAGTATAAGACGAGTGGGGGTTTTTCAGCACAAAAAATGTGCTGAAAAACTCGTCTTATACTCGAGAGAGTGTGTGTGTGTGTGTGTGTATATATGTGTGTGTATATATATATGTGTGTGTGTGTGTGTGTGTGTGTGTGTATATGTATATATATATATATTTATTATTATTATTAAATAGGTTATTTTCACATCCAATCATAACTACATATTTGTCATAAGGGTTTCTACGTTCCTTTGATCAAATCTTAATAAATCCCCAACTAGTCCAGTTGTATCCTTAAAACGTCAGTGTCAGGTTTTTTTTTTTTTTTTTTAAACTCAGGGACACTATACTCACCATAACAAATACAATAAGCTGTAGTTGTTCTGGTGACTATAATCAGTCCCTTCAGGCTTTTTGCAGTAAACACTGTCTTTTCAGAGAAATTGCAGTGTTTATATTACAGCCTAGTGATAGCTCCACTGGCCACTCCTTAGATGGCTGGTAAATCTGCTTCCAAGGGCAGTTCTGCACAGTGTGCAGCACTGCTATTCAGTGTCTCCACCCTCTGCATGCAGACACTGAACTTTCCTCATAGAGATGCATTGATTTTACTATATTTAGGGAGACATGATGGGCCCAGGGGGCTAGATGGTGGTTTTAACACTATGGGGTCAGGAATACATGTTTGTGTTCCTGACCCTATAGTGTTCGTTTAATCTTGAGGAGAAGAAAATGGAGGTGTCCAGATATTCAGATCCGGCTCAAGAAATTAAATGATGCTAAATAATATTGATAATTTTTCTGTAAATCTACAACAAAATGATACAATTAGATGTGTTAAAGAGCAATTAGAAAGTTTTGATTTTGAGGGATAACACACATTAGAGAAGCGTATAAGGTGACTCTTACACAGAAAAAAAAAAAAATATATATATATATATATATATATATATATATATATATATATATATATATATAAAATATTAACCAACAACATGTCAGAGGAATCGCAATAACAATGTATTTAGCATCCTGGTCTTGAAGTTGTTAATAGGCTATATACACTTATACATACATCCACTGCTTATGGTTTTTTTCTATGCCCCATTTTTGTTTTGAGGAGAGGAGAATAAGCCTTCATAAAAGGATTAGACTTGTGTTCCGTAGTTTTCCTGTGCTGTTCTCCCAGTACTCCCGATCCTTTGGGATAGGCACCAAGGAGTTAAAAAAAAAAAAAACCTCTATAGTAAGAAGGAAATGAGCATTGCTACTCTAGATGTTGTGTGGTCCTTTTGCACGTTACAGATTTAAAGTATCACAAGCACCATTCAGAGTTTGCAAACTGCAAGTGTGTGTGTGTGTAGTATCGGTTAAGGAAGTGGCTAATCAGAAGACAACTTAACTGAAATCTTTTTCAGTAATGTCTTCTCATCTGTTTTCTTTAACCCCTTAAGGACCAAACTTCTGGAATAAAAGGGAATAATGATGTCACACATGTCATGTGTCCTTAAGGGGTTAAATTATCACTAAATCAAATACAGTCTGGAAAACATGATATTTTTCTCCATTCTGACCCTTGGTACAAATCTTTAGTTTTGAGGTAAGACCCCCCCTCCCTTCCTTGCATGTGCAGGCATCCAAAGGCTTATTATTTTGCTCTTTGTGCTTGTGCCAAGTGAGGATTTTTGAGCAGAGCTCACACAGCGCCCCCTGGAATCTTTCCAGCTCACAGAGGCCAGGGAGGAGCAATGGAATGCTCTATTAACCCAACCGAATGCTTCGGGCATTATATATATTTGATATTATTCGTTTATGTAACACAAGCATGTTCACAATGCTGATACAAATAATACAAAATAGGAATAATAGGTAATGATGGCCCTACTCAAATTGATTATTCATTAATGTGTGAACTGCCAGGAATTCAAAGTGATTTTTCTAATTTAACTGAAGATAGCAGAAGTGAAAACAAATCTGAGAATTTATTCAAATCGATTATTTTAACTTTGCGTCCCTATCAATTTTACACGTTAGTGAATAATGCTGTGCGGGTTTATTGACATTCACAGGGTCATTCACTACACATACTAAAAATTCTCATGCATTAAATCCAAATGGAAAAACTGAGGTGAAATTAGCTGATCTGGAAAAATTCTCCAACTCGCCCATAGTCACAACTTGGCTATTTCTGTCTGTTTTTCCATTCAGATTTTTAGAGTTCAGTGAAGAATCCTGTGCGTGTATACCTAATTGCCTTTAAATGTGTTAACCTTATTTGGAGTCTATGTACTCTGAGGCCTCTCAGTGGACAAATTAATAACTTCAAGTGAATGTTAATATGTGCAGAAATAAACAGAAATCTCATTATAGTCATACGTTTCCTACTGATCTGGACAAATTGCACAGTCTTTAATATTTTTTTTTTATGACTGTTCAGAATAAATCACAAATATGTCCTGCTAGAACAAAGGGTTAAACTAACAGTTGCAATGCATTTTGATCATTCTAAAATCCTGTTTTTCATTTAAGTCAGACTACATTTTTCTGCTGCATTCATATTTTATAGGGAAAAGGTATTTTATAAAAGATTAATGCTCCCAAATGAAGCTGAAGTCCACAGTAGATTCTAATAGAGGAATGTTGTCTTTTATTTAAAAAGCCACATAGATAAGTCTTATCAGAGACTATTAATGTTTCTGTCTTTCTAAAATGTCAACAACTTGTTCTCATAATAAATGCTAGAAATATTTTGGATCCGTTCATTAGAGAAGTGATTTTAGTGGAAAAGAAACAATACATTCTGCGGATTAACTGCAGAATAATATTGGGATGGAGAATGCACCTACCTGACTTTTTTAAACAAAGAGCACTGCTATGGTGTACAGTATATTGTTTTTATTATTATTATTAGCATTTTATAGCACCAACATATTCTGCAGTGCTTTTATAATGGGCATCTAAAATGGTCAATAACGGACAAGCAATATGTATGTAAATAGAAACACTTAGCGAAAGATCTGTACAAACATGCTTACAATGTAGACATCTGGGGCGTTGCGTGAGGTGGACGGGGAATGCTCTGGAACACGGTTCTCATGTACACAACCTTTCATTATTACACCCAATCCCTCTGCAATATTGCTACCGTGCCATTTTAATGCACCATATTTGGATTATTGGTGTGGGTGCAGGTTTATTTCAACAGATGAAGAGTTAATACAGAATGGTGTGAAAGTTATAAATATATCCTCAATTCAGTCACAGATTTGGTGTCTTAATTTGATTCATAGAACATGTTGATGTTTATGGTTGGACATAAGGTAGGATATTGGGAGAGGCATAAGCCAGTTTTATTTGGGTGTGGCCATAAAATTTACCCTTGGGCTGAAGCCTTGGTCTTTTTGGCCACTTGGTATTACTTCTGAGTGTGCACCACAGAAGATATTTTGTCAATCTTCCTTATGATAATAATTCTTGCTTATAAACCAAACCGGTCTGTCTTTCTAAACAGAATCCCCTGAAATACTTTAGTTTTATTTTGTCTGTATTTTATGGCAGTTTAAGTCCCCTCTCTAAAGTTATGTGGGTTTTTATATATTTATTTTAATAAAATGTTTTTGGTTTTTTTCTTCGCATAGATTGTTGGTGCTACCTTGATTTAAGTTGTTTTTTTTTGTTTTGTTTTTTAATTTAGTGAATCACTCCCTCCTCTTAAAGGTTTAGCAGCTTTTAGTTTGTTTTTTTTCCATCATTCATTTTTCACTTTACCTATATTCTTGTTTGTAAGGACATATTGGTAGCCATATTTCAGTTTGCATACTTTGTATGTAGATACAATTGTATGTTCTTTGAACTTTGGAGAAATAATACCAGTGTGGTTTTATTTACTAAGGAACTGTATACCTGAACTCTGTTTCAGCAATCAACCACATAAATGAGAGTATTCGCAGATAATGCAAATTCTACGATAGTGCATGGTTACATCCGCCAAAACATGTTTGATCGTTTTTAATGCATCTATTTAGAGGGGCTGAAGTGAAGAGGTTCCCATTTGTACCACAATTTTGTTTTCCTCATCAAACCATGGCCACATTAATTATTGCATTAGCACCTTTCACCCACAACAGATATGAGAGAAACCAAACCTCTGATGTTAGTATGCTTGAAACAGGACAGCCCTGCTGAAATATTAATTTGCTTTTTGTCTTCTTTGTACAGATGTCTGGTGATGATCGAAGTGACAAAGAGGAAGAAGAAAGTGAAGGAAATGAGGAACCCCGACTAACAAATGGGGATGGCAAACAGCGCATTCTGAATGGCCAGCATGAGCGTTAGCACATGGAAATGTTCTAAGCTATGCTCCTGATCCCCACCAAGAGAGAGTTAAGCAAGACCCTAATTATCTGCATTGGCTTTCTAGATGGACCAGGGGAAGGGAACAGAGGACCTCAGCAGGAGAGGCACCATTGACCAGAAGGTGCATAGTCCCTTTTAAAGGGACCACTTGTGGTTCAAACTAGACCCTGCCCTTTTTTATTTTTGAAAATAAACCAAACCATAGTTTCCTTTAAGAGAGGGGGCTAATGAATATTGTAACCTATTGTCCTGTCAGGAATTGTTTTGTTTTTTTTGACAATCTTTATTTGAAAAAGTTTGTGTGAAAGTAAGAAAATAGAACAAGATCAAACAAGTATGGAATAAAGGTGTAAATGGCGAACCTAAAATTTCATAAACACAATTGTTGCCATTTGTACCCTGAACAGAATATGTTGGGAAGCATTGATAACATTTAGATATAGAGTTAAGATTAGAGGGGGGAGAGGGGAAAAAAGAGAAGAAAAAAAAGTGGGGGAACAATGAAAAGGGCACAGGCATGAGAAAAGTTAGTTTTATTATTTTTGTTTGGTTCTAATTTTTTTTTTTAATTTTATTTTGAATCCTGGCAGTGCAAGAGGTTAATTAAAACAAGCGACATGGCCAGATCGCTCCATTCCTACTTTCATTGCTTCTAATTTAAGTAATGGGCTTCTAACTCCTGATGGTCTGATGAGCAGGATATAAAAGGACAGCCCATACCACCAATATATCTAATTAACCTGGATCTCTTCATCCTCCACAGTACTGGACATGATATCTATTTATTGCACTTTAATGTCATCAATTCTATTCGCTGCCCTGAATCTATCTGTCCAGCACTCCCTTTAGCAACAAGGGAGTTATTGATGCAGTGTACCAAAAGGACTGTGTGCACAAACACCTTCATCTTGGCTTTATGTTTACAGATGCAGAAGAACGGAGGTGCAGCTCTGTAAACTACACTGTATGAGAATCTTATTGCAGGAGGATCTAATGTTTGGGAGGGATCAAGTTTTTATGCAACCTGCTTCAAGGGCAAGGCAATAAGAGCATATCCCAGACCATAGCACAGAAGTATGAATGATGTAACTGGTTTCATTAAAGAACAGGAGACATTTTGAACTTTAGTCCTCAAAAATATGCATTATGAAGATAATAGCTGATGCTCTGAAAGTTTTGTAAATTCCAAATATTTATCTTGGTATCAGCCTTATCCTGGGGGAAAGTTGGTCTGATTAAACTTGGCTTTATCTTCAGAATGATAGGGGGTTTGTTTCCAATTCTTCTTGCACTCAGAGAGTATTTGTATATTATCGCAAATGCCAAGAAAATTAATCCGTAAGTCACATCTGTCTGCCTGTGGCATTTGGCTGATAAATAGAAACTCCTCCGGTTTCAATCGGCCTAAGTTTCCATGATGGCCAGCCATTAGCTGTGACGTCAATGCAGCTATAGTCCAATTGCACCTGGAGGATTCTGTAATGCTAACCCAGGAAAGAGACATGAATTCAGTGTAAACTGATATAAGCTAGTCAGGTCAATGTAGAATTTTTGGCTAATCACACTGGATTCAGTCTCTGTTTTATTTTTTATTTTGAATTTTTTTCTTTTAGCCCTTCCCAAACATACAACAGTCTGGGTTTCACCATTCTGGATACATTACCTGTAGGTAAATGCAGGGTGGAAAGTATTAAATCCAAGACAGTCTGCTCTTAGCAGTACAAGACAGAGCTGTAGTTTTATGATAGAAATAATCAGAGACAAAATGTGCATGTTGCTATTTTGTTTTGTTTTGTTAGTGTCTGGCCTAACCAGTCATTACTGTTCACACTAATCTGCTTGCATATTTTGTACTCTTAATATCCAAATGTAATTAAAAGAAATATTTGCAACACATTATGTCAGTTTCATTAAATGTAAATGTCTACTGCCAACAGATAATGCTGGTAATCCTTTAAAGTATATATTAGTGTTTTTGAAGCTATTTATACAATCCTATAGATCAGAGGCTCCCAGCCTTTGTGCTCCTGACCCTATAGTGCTCCTTTAACTTGCCAAGAATCCTTTCATATTTGCCCCACACTGCCAAACCTTAAAGCGGCACTGTCATGCCAAACTTACCTTTCTTTAATCGATTCCTCTTCTTTTCCTCTCTCAGGATCTGTTCTTCATTTCTTCATGTCTGCTCTAGTTTTCTTTAAAACATAAGACAAAGTAGGGACTATTTGTCTTATGGAGGTTTCCTACTCCTGACCAGCTATGACCAGCAGAGGAGCAAAGTGTGCTTCATTTCCGGTGGTCAGAGCAATTTCCCCACAATTCTTACCTTTCCTCCGTGTTCCCGCAAAACCTCCTTTCACTTTTCCTGAACTAGTTTCGCCGGCGTTCTAACAGAATGAGAATAGTTTCTCCATTCGTGTTAGGGTGCAATTCGGGACTTTGTTCGGATCGGAATTTCATTTGAATGAATGAAACTCTGATCCTATTTGTGCTACGGCTGCATCTTGCAGCCGCTTAGTAGATAGCTGCCTAATACCGTGAGAATTAGGGAGTTATCTACCAGAAGGCTGAAAGACCAATTAAAGATTACAGATTACTTCGTATTAGTAAATTCTGCCCCTACTTGCTATACCGCAAGTAGGGGCATGTCTAGTAAACAGTGAGCAAACAAACCAAAAAAAACCCAGAGTGTCCCCCCTCCCGCGTGAGTGGGGGCGTGTGGAGGCCCTAAATAACTAAGTGGGGGATCTATTGTCCTCCACCTTGAGCGGTGGGTGGGGGCTCTAAATAACTATTGTCCTCCCCCCTACCCCTGAATGGGGGAGGCCTATTGTCGTCGTCTCCCCCCTGCCCCAACCCTGTGCGGTGGGTGGGGACACACACACACACACACACACACCCCTCTATTGGCCTTGCCCCCCACCCCTGAGCCGCAGTTGGGGGCCCTAAATAACAAAGAGAAGGGGGCCTATGTCCCCCGCCACTAACAATAAGGGGAGGGCCTTATTGTTGGCCCCCACCCCTGAGCGGCAGGTGGGGGCCTTAAATGAAAATGTTACCCCCCCAAGGTTACTAGGGATCCCCAAGGTCCTAGTCACCAACCACACACAAAAAAAATAAATAAAACAACGAACCCCTACCTTACCCCCCTCACCCTAAAAATAGTGAGGGGGGGGTGGGGAACTAAGTAACTGTGAAAAAAAAAAAAATTCCATAATAAAAAAAGAAAATCAGACGTGGAAAAAAAAAAATCCATCTTCACCCATGGAGGGCACGGCACGGCACATACTGAGCTCCGCAGGGCGGGGAAAGTCTTATAAAGCCTTTGCACGCTCTGAGCCTACTTGCAGAGTGCTCTGACAGGTAAGTCCAATCACTGATTGGTTGTATTTCAAGCCAACCAACCAGAGTGCTGTGACAGGTAAATGTAGAGACTTACCTGTCAGAGCACTCTGATTGGTTGGCTTGAAATACAACCAATCAGTGTTCGGTGTCATTTTATACAGTGTGGGAAAGTTCTTTGGAACTTTCCCACGCTGTGTAAAATGACTCCTAACACTGATTGGTTGGATTTCAAATTGTAAGCAACCAATCAGAGTGCTCTGACCTTTTACACATAGCGTGGGAAAGTTCCAGGAGTCTAAAGATTAAGGAGCAGCACACACATACAAATACATTTTATAAGACTACTTAAAATCACCTATCTCCGCTAACAAATATGGGAATTCAGTTCCACCATATGTCTTATAATCCTATAGTCTTACAAAATGTAAAAATGTATATTTATGTATGTGCTGTTCCTAAATCTGTAATATGTATTCATTTTGGTCACTACAGCAGCACCATTCCTGCAGAATGCATGTTCCGGGTGTACCCCCAATTCCCTTTTGTCTTTTGACTGGCAGTCTGTGTTTTTACCTGCTTTTGTGCATGGAGTGAAGACCATAGAGGCTGCTTGTTTTCAAACATGTACATGGCTGAAGGATCCTATCATATACTAAAGGTAGGGGATTTTTCTTTTCCCCAAATACTTAATAATGATAAAAAATACAAATAAAATGCATATTTTGTTTCAAAACTTGAACGGATTGTTATAGTAAAAAATGATAGTTTAACTGGAAAAATAAATTGCAATATTTTAATTAAATTAAGTACAATACAAACTTATCCTTAAAATTATGTGGAAAGACGCACAGTGTGAATATACGGAATAAAATGCCTAAAAAGTACTTTTTAAACTGTAGAATAGGATGACCGGACTCTTCCCAGTCCTCAGGATACAAAATATAAACAAAAGATCTACAGTAAAATAAAACTCCATAGTACAATTAATCAGAACAATATACTAGTGTTCAAGGTTACACTCACAAAAGTATATTGATTGTAGACTTATCAAATAATTTGTACAAGGTCCACAACATGGAAAATGGGCAGGTAGTACAGAATGAAAAATACACAATTAGTGTAGACAGTTAAAAACGTTATTATGTGCTTAAATGAATCACACTTACAAGCTTGAAGTGATATATGAACATATATTCACAAAGTATGATCCCCAGTCATCATCCACAGGGTTTCATTGTGAAGGATAAGGAGTACTGGTTCTTGATTAACAAGGCAATTTATTGGATATATAAAAGCACAAAATTGAAGTAAAACAAAATACAAGCTTCCTACAGTGGCCCAACCCTATGCGTTTCGTCAGCTCAAAATCTGGCTTCCTCGGGGGTAATAATTAAAATCCAATCTCCTGTGTAGTGTAGTTCATCCTGTATCATCCGGTGTTGTTTTAAATGTGAGGGCGCCATTCCCGTGAGCCCATCAGCAGCAAATGGTCCCAGCTGTAACTTGTGTTTGGGGAAAAAAAGCGCTTCAGACCTCGTTTTCATGTGCCGTCCGTTCTTGTGCATATATGGCGTTGCGTTTCATCAGTCGGGAGATCGGGGAATGTGTTCCACTTCAAGTGCTGTGTTGATTCCTTATGCCATCTTGTATAAAGTCCCAGTGTTACTCGTAGATATGTGAAGAAATAATAAAATAAAAAAAATGTATGTACCATGATCTTAAAAAAATAAACAAAGCTTAAAATTTAGATAAATCACCATAACAGAAAAGATAATACAAACATGAGGTCAGAAGGATCCCTATAATGTCTGCAGAGATTACATAGTTTTAATTAAGTTTGAAATATTAATTATATATAATTTATAAATATACATTATGTCAAAAATACAAGCCAACAAGCAGACTCCACTCACATGGCCGCTGCCAGTATGCGATTATGGATTCAGGCTTCTGGTATACCCCAAATGGTGCCGTCCGCACCGAGTGCCAAAGCGGATCCTCCCGCTACTTCTTGAAACCCTGTCAAGGTGGAGCACATCAACGTCACATTGGAATAGGATGTGGCGTTGCGTGCCTCCGTGCGCCTCCAGGTCCTCCACTGTCCAACTGTGGCCATCGCATCTTTCTCTCTCATTCTCTCTCTCTCTCGCACACACTCACATCATTGTATTTATCCCTGGGGTCTTCTATCTGGAGATCTCCTTCCCACTGCTCCCTCACGCGCACAGTTTAGTGGTGTGGGAATATGACATCATAATCTGACACCCAGTATTACTACAGACTGCGCACGTGAGGGAGCAGGAAGACTAGCTCCTCCAGCGACCTCTTCTTCCGGCTGGGTAAATGTTAGCAGAGTGGAGCCATTTGGGGTATACTGCAATGTGGAGAAAACAGGTGCCTACTCTGCTTTAACACGAAGCATGTACTCACGGCTCGCCAGGCTGCAAAGATGTCCATTGTGGGCTGCGAGTTTGACAAGATTGGTCTACACTTATTGTGTATTTTTCATGCTCTCCTACATGCCCATTTTCCGTGTTGTGGACCTTATACCATCTCTAAATGAATTGATACGTCTACAATCCATACACTTTTGTGAGTGTAACCAGGGCCGGCTGTAGGGGTGTGCGAGCGCACAGGGCGCCATGGAAATGGTAAATTGCAACGGGGCGGAGCTACCCGTGCGGCGGGGTGGAGCTAAAAGTGCTGGATAACTGCTGCAGGGGAAGCAGGAAGGAGTCCGTTTCCCCAACAAACAGTCTCCAGGAGCTGCACTGCCTCCACAATGAACATAGGTAACTATGTGTGATTGTCAGTGTGACTGTCTGCCTTTGTGTATGACTGTGTGTGTGGATGACTGCCTGTGTGTGCGCGCGTGCCTGCCTGTGTATGTCTTCCTGTGTGTGTATGGCTGTGTGTGACTGTATGCAAGTATGTGTGTAAAACTGTAATTGCCTGTAATTGTGTGTGTGTGTTTATCTACCTGTAACTGTATGTGTGTTACTGCCTGTACCTGTATGTGTGTTACTGCCTGTACCTGTGTGTTTCTGCCTGATCCTGTGTATGTGACTATCTGCCTGCGACGATGTGCTTGTGGTGGATTTGACAGTGTATATGTATAACTGTGTGCAATCGCCTGTGGGACTGTGTGCACATAACTCTGCAAAAATATACACCTGCATTCACACACAGGCCTAAATGCATGTTTTTATCTTGTAACGGATCACCTGGCACCCTGACTGGGTAGCTCTGTTGAAGGATGCTCCTAGCGCTTCCTGAGGACTCCAAGCACTGCAGCAGACGCCACATCCACCGAACCGGAGAAGCATACAAATGCTCTCAAGCATATGAATGCTGTAAGCAGCTGAACAGGAAAAGCATACAATCCGCTTACACTCCTGGCAATCAGCATACAATCCAATAACGAGACGACACTTCGTTTTGAGGTCAAGCAGAACTGCCTGGACTGGCACATACAGCCTCTTATTCACAATCCACAAACATAGTACTGCCCACAGGGTTTTGAAATACAACCAATCAATCCGTACAATACACACAGACACTCCCACACAAAATCCTCCCCTCTGCCTGTGATATGATTACTGAACACAACGGTTAATATAATTATCACAGGCAGGGCCGCCATCAGGGCATGACAATCGTAACGGTTGTCATGGGCCCGGCGGTCCTGGGGGGCCCGGACTGCTAAGGTCGTCCGGGCCCCACATTCAGAGGGTACATACCGGGTCGCAGGGGGCCCTGCGCCCCCGGTATGTACCCACTGGGCCAGCCTCTTCTCCTGGGGGCCCAGCAGCTGGTCACCTCAGGGCCCCCCAGAGGCTGGCCCTGACAGCCGGCCGGCGCGCGAGGGAGCACTCTCCTCTGTGTGCTTCCTCTTCAGCTCCCTCGCGCACCGTACTGATGCTGGAGCCGGAAGATGACGTCA